TTGTTTTTCTAGCTTGCATGCATGCTTACTCGCTCGTTCGCTCACTCCTGTTCGCTTGCTCCCAATGGTGTCACGTCGTCAGTCATTTGGTGTGCAGATGAAAACTCATAGTCCACAGCCTTAAATGCTGATGATGTCAGACATTCGAAAAACTATTCATATTGTGGCTATGTTCGGGTATGGGTATGCAATACAATTGCAAACTGCATCGCCGCATATATTTCTTTGTGTAAGTGCCATTTTCAATTTGGCATGCGATTACGGGCAACGTCTGAAAGCAATTAAAAATACGATGCTGTTTAATGCATCGCATTTCGAACCCACAAAAATGAACAGGGCAAAGTACTGAAATAAGCAGAAAAGCAAAAAATTGTCATCAGTTTTTAATGTGGCATTTCTTGGTACGGCGAAATGAATACTCGGTGCACTTTGTTTAACTCGTGCTGGCACCGTTTCAATTGTAACAACTTAACGGGGAACGTAGACAAAGACTAATGCCATTTTGGTCGTTTCTATCATTCGGCAGTGAGAATGTGTTTTTGTGTATTTTCTTCGTACATTCCGTCGTATTCAAATCGGTTCGAAATGAAACTCATTTGAATGAATTCCTAGGGGCTTCCATGTATATTCCATCCAAGAAATATACACCATATATGACAGTCATACGAAATATTCACAATGCTGGCAAAATATGCACCATATTCACGGAATATACACGATATTCATGAAATATACACCTCATATTCACGATCGGTAACAAAGATTCGACATTGCCGTAAACACATATTTTTTACATGCTGTGTATATTCTGTGAATATGGTGAATAATATACACGGATTATATGCAATATTCACGAAATATTCACACAAATAAGAATGTATATTTTGACTTAAAAGCCCCTAGATGAATTCATTCGCTTTCATAATAATACTTTTAAATATACTGCGTTCTACTTTTTTTTACTTTTTTTCAGAGCACATTTCGCTTTACTTGCCAGTCGGATTGGTTGGAAGAAAATGCAAACAAGATCATCAACGGGCGGCTCTAGGGAATTGAGCACGCATCTGTACGAAGAAAAGTACGAGACATAAAATTTTGTGAGATAATCCGTAAATTCGATGAACAGGGTAAGCAATGGCACAGACAACCAGCATGTACAATGGACATTTTGATTGTGTTAGTGTGAAAATATGGTAGAAATTCGTAGAATCATAAATATAAATGTGAGAATGTCATTAGGTGTTTGCTGTACCATGAATGTGGACACCTTTAACTTGTTCTGATGCTTGGATATATCAGAATTTGTAACATTTGGTTCTGTTCAAGTCTGTAGCGTTTGATGCTCATCGGCCATTTGAACGGCCACATATCAGAGCAACTTTTGCTGTACAGTCGAATTTAAATGTTTTTTGTGAAACATTCTCGGTTTTTCAATATTGTGACACGTGATGTGGTGAGATTGACAGTAGAGTATGCTTCCCTGACTTTGTTATGAAAGACGAGAATAAGTTTCCTTCGACTTTAAAATGATCAAAGGAGAATATATTCATTTTAAGGGTGTTGTCGTGATTTTTTCCAATTTAGGTTTTTTACTCAAGCTTCTCTATAACTTTGCTGCATACGATTCTCCTTCATCTCTTAACAGTTCCGCAAAAATCGCAACAGCCCAAATATATTCTTCTTTCATGCAAACCAAATCGTCAAAGAACATACTCGCATTTTCAAAAATCGAAGAAAAAAACATAATCCCCTCTCACACTCGCACTCTTAGATATCCTGGTCATACAAAAAAGAGAATCGGTAAGTCAAACCTGATTGCGGCTCAGTTTAAAATTATCTTACCATGGTTTACCTACTTTTATACGACTATAAAATGAATAGTAGATACTGGTCGAAATGACGAGATGCATTTAATATGATTCAATGATTGTCAAGTGGCTCCAAATCGACGGCTTATCTTGAAGATACAAAAAATATCATACTAAAATGTCTACTAGCAAATGTTCTACGGTCACAACAATTCGATCCCATTGTTGCTGCATCTGCCTTTTCTATTGACACTCGGGCGGTGTTTTTTGAGTTCGTATGATAACATTGAAAATAATCTCGAAATAATTGTTTAAAATTTGGCGTATGTTTACGCCGTATTCGTGCTGTGACATCCAGCGGAATGTGTGCATAGCCGAATTTACGGCAAAGATGATGAGTTGCAGTGCGCGAGTGTATTAGTCGCTTGGTAAGTATGAGGCCGCTTGCCAATGAGCACTTTCATTAGCTTAACCGTGCTATTACACTTGGGTACAACTATCTAATTACAGCACGGTCTCTATGTTCACTACAACTACGTACAATGCTAAACGTGTTAAACTAATGATTGTTTCTGTTTCAAGTGAAATTTTTCACATTTTCCCTGTGCAATTTCAATTTGTCAGTATAAGATGTATACATTTTTGTTTCCCCTCTTTTTGCATGTTGTGAAAATCTTTTCGACATCAACTTATGTTAGTCATTTTCTTGTGTCTCACCTCTCTCTTTCTGTCTAACTGTCTGCAAAAAAAAACCGACAGATATTTTTCTTCATTTTTACTTTATATGTGTTACAGGTTAGCATTCAGTTTTGGGGCGCTGCTACTTTTTCGTGATTGTAATTCCACAACCAGACAATGGAAAATAGATAAATGAAAGGTGCATATAGAGTGCGTATCTAAAGTTTTGTCGGATCGAGTTCCTTCGTTCATTCGCTGAAATTCTTACTCGCAAGTCGTTGTTTGGCGCGAGTCAGTGAGTGATGCCATGCTGGATGATTGCGAAGTGTAAATGATTATACAGAATTACACAAAACATTTTACTTCGTTACAGTAAGGTGGCGCTAGAAAATTGGACGCTCATATACGTAGTTGTGATGTTAAGCGCATATGTACATTGTACACATTTAGTAAAGAGATCAAATAGAATGTGTAAATGTGTTTTTGATTAAAATTGTACGAGATGGAAATACATATTATTTTTCACTATAAAGACCTAAGCGTGATAAAATCGAAGAGAAAAGGCATACTTTGTTCATTTTAAGGTATTTATTTTAAGATGGACCAGAAACAACTCAAATGAATCAATACATTCATTACGATGCTATCTCTCCATTCATTCCTAGGATTTTGAAAAAAAAATGCGACAAATATCATTGTCGAAAGCGAACAGTCATTGTTGGAAATGCCTTTTATGCACGCAAATCGCTATGCGTATGGGCCTTAAAGTTGTTCAGGGTTGGAATTCTACGACATTCTACTAAAATCGTTCGGAATTATTTTTTTCGTACGTAAGACTATATTGGAGTGAAAGAGAGAGATTCCACTAATTTTCATCTCTCCACCGGAATTATTCCGATAACTCGAATCATGTCGAATGATGTCGAAATAATTCCGGTGGATGGATGAAAATTAGTGGAATCTCTCTCTTTCACTCCAATGTACGAAAAAAATAATTCCGAACGATTTTGGTGGAATGTCGTAGAATTCCAGCCAAGGAGTGGTAATTAATTGAGGCTGCAAGTGTATGAACGTGCAATAATAATGTCGACCGAAACTTAATACCTCATCGAGTTAAGTTTATTGGCTCCTTTTCGTTGATGTTCTTGTTATGAAAAAAAATTGAACAAACAAAAACTAAATAAAAAAAAAATGAACAAAAATTTCAATATTTTCTCAATTGATGAAATTTTTAGCTACGTTAGCTTGTCTATCGCAAAATTCTATATTTGTTTGTGTTCTATTATGCTGAGTATGGGATAAAACTTCAGTTTTAGTCCATTTTTACGGAACCTCGTTGGTGGCTCATAGGCAGACCATCTTTGATGTTCAAAATCCATTTCTATATAATAGTTGAGATGAAACAGCAAACAAAAATGAAGAAAATAAGCAATTTATAGGTATACTCTCAATATTTTTCATAACCACGTCTGGATCAGCTGCCAGCCAAACTCATTCTTATGGGTGATAAAAATATAATTAATGACAATTGGATGATAATGCTATATTTCATTACCGAACAAAAAGAGAAACATAACAGTTTAACAAAATCATTTTCGAAGCTGAAACAAATGTAGGCGACCGTTGAGCAAATGCAATCCAAGTGTCAGGCAAAATGAAAAATGATGTCAGTTATATATCATACAGAATGCGAGCGAAGAAATAAGAGAGAGAGAGAGAGAGAGAGAGAGAGAGAGAGAGAGAGAGAGAAAATATATGGTATTTACTCGAGCCCAAACGAAATTATATGTGGTGAAATGTGATTACAATGGAAATTGTCGTGTAGCTTAATCGTTGAGTAGCCATCTGAATCTCCATACATTGCATTGTCAATTTTCAAATATTCCCACTTATCATAAGCGCCGGATAAAATCGCTGGCATTAGACATGGAAATGAGATATCCCCAGAATATTATATATTGAATGAGGCACACTAAATGCGGAACTAGCACGAAAAGTGATAATAAATGACCGCGAATAATCGTGGCCATTTGTTTTTCTCTTTTTTCTTTCTTATTCGCCGCCATTCATTCATTCGTCGGTAAACTGAAATAATATCATCGTTCTCTTGATGGTTCGTACAGTTCTTCGTGATGACATCAACCATTCTCACGTCTCTTGATGATTTACTTTGCAATATATTATTTTTTATAATATGTTTGTTTGAAAACGAGTAAAACAGGAAACTCAATTAAGAGAAAGAAAACGACACATCATATTCGGACCAATATCCCGTTTTATACATCAGCCAATCACAAACACAGAAAGCCATATGTATTAAAAAGTAAAATACATTGTCGTACCGTAATAATACTACTATTGAGAATGTGTGAAGTTTTTTTTTATTGCAGTTGTGATCTAAAACATAAATTAGAAAATACCCGGTTTGCCATTTGCACCTTCTCTCTTTTCTTCTCCATTCCGAGCCATCGTTTTTTTTTTCCTTCTAAATTTTTCCCCTTTCTCTTTTTCCCCTTTTATTCTTTTAATTTGATCATCCGTTATATACCCATCTCTTCTTATCGATTTTTGACTTGGTTTCCTGTTGCAAAACTTGTACAATGTGTGTTTTGTGTGTTTGTTTCACATTAATTAGATTGTATATCAGCAAAGGGTATTGTAATAATAATAATAATACTTAAATCAACTATTTCAAGTTTGAAGAGTTTTTACGTGGCATGAAACATGCATAGTTGTGTTGCATTTAAATATTACTTCATTAAATAATTCGATAGTTTTTGTTCTTGTTGTTGTTCATGATATCATTTTTTTGTTTGCTTTTTTTTACTTTTCAAATGCCTTTAATATATAAATAACCCGATTAATATGCTACATAAACTTTCATTGGTATGTCTATTCATTTGTTCTTGTTGAGTGTGTGTATGTGTTTTTTGTGTGTGTGTATTTTGCTCTCGAAGTTTTCCTTATTTCTTTTCACTAGAGTTGGTGAATTCTTAGTGTGTATCATACACTTTTTTTTAAATCCAGTTAACATCATATAGATCTTTATCATAATATTTTTATGTATTTTTTTTTGTTTATAATCGTAGAAAAGTGTTAAAAAAGAGAACAAAACAGGTGTACAGGTATCGAAAAAGAAGAGAAGGCATTCAAAACTTGATTTGAAAGTATATCATATTTTGTGTATGAAATGAAAATGAATAAGTTATGAAACATCAACAGTGATGCAGTAAATGGTGAAGAGATCTTTGTTTGTATAGATTGAAATATATACTTTTATAATATAAAATACGGGGTAACATCAAAATCCGTACAAATACTCTAGCAGCATGTTCATGATGTCCTACCCGAATAAAAAGAGTTTATGGGATAGTTACGCCATTCGAGCCTCAAATTGTAACGCAGACTTGCAATTCTTTGAAAGTTGTTAGAAAAATTCCCATTCTGGTCGTAATTTTAAACGAAAATCCAAAGGTGAGAGGGTGTCAGTTTGCAAATTTTACACGTTTTATTTATTTTTACACGAATGATTGATATTTGTTCAAATGTAAAACCGTCGATTTCCACAAATATTGATTGCTATCTACCCAATTTCGAACCAATCATTGTCACGGTTGTCGTATCTGATCCAGTCGAGGGCTTCAATTTTTTTTGCCATAAAACATTCTTCGGGATATCTTAAATACATTCGGTAAAATATTTGTACGAAGTTCGATGTCACCGGTTGCGAATGTTCGGTTTTGTTGGCATTTTTCGATTCGTTGGCTGTATTAAATCAAAAAAAAATTCCAATAAACGCAGTTCCAAAATGATTGGAATAGAGAATAGAATATTTTATCGATTTGATTTGGATTTGCCATTTGGTTAGCGTTAAAAATAGACAAAAACTTTGCACATGCAAAATTTCATAGGAAGAGAATGTTTTTTTTTTGTTCAAATTGGAGAGCAGACAATAGGACATATAGTGACTTAAAGAGACAAAACTTTTTTTTCCATTTTTTTCCTCCATTATCTATATTTCTGTGTGACATAAATGTTTGAAAGCTTTGAAATAATTGATGTTATGAAAACAAAATTGTTTCAGTTTGATGATTGTTCTTTCACATTTATGCAAATGATTCTCTGTTATGTGAGTGAGTGTGTGTATGTGTTATTTTTGTTTCTTTTGTCTATAAGTTCGAATCTTATTACAATTATTTATCGTAAATATAATTTAAATTTATTTTTAAATTTTATCTATCCATCCAACTAAGTGAGAAATAGCCGTAAAATTGTACGTAAAAATCGAATGGTGCGCAAAAGTAGTAGATTACCCTATAATTTGTTTTGTTGTTGTTTTCTTCTTGTTCATGTTGTTTGTTGTTAATTAATTTCCTTCATACTTAATTCAAGTTTAAGTTCTCCTTCATTTTTATCAAATAGATTCTTTTTTTTTCTTTTAGTTTAACGCGAAAATAGAATTCTTAATAGTTTTTTTTTACAAATGTTCATGTTATAGAATTAAGTAGAAATAGTTTTCGGCATGTGACAAGCACATCGGCAGAGATGACTGAAGCGCACTCGAGCATTTGTGTTGTTTCTTTTGTTATTTTCTTCGTTCTACTTTATCTTTTTGGCTAAAAAAGGTGTATCAATATTTTGTCTAACATAACGAAGAATGGCTTTTGAAAAACCACATTTACTTTGGTGTATGTAAAGAAAAATCCCCAAAAGTATCGATTGTGAAATAGAGCTAATATGCGCAATGACTAAGTGCGTGTGATCGCACAATGCGAATACCAGCTCTCATTTCAGGGCAGAAAACGTATTCTTTGTTATTTTAGACAAAATATTGATAGAAAAAAAATTTTTGGCCAAAAAGGTATAGAACGAAAAAAACAACGAAAAAAAAACAACACTAGTGCTCTCGAGTGCGCTCTAGCGCACTTGGGTGCGCTTCAGTCATCTCTGCACATCGGTTTGATTGTAGAAAATCATACGATAATGCATAATTCGATTTGATTTGTATGGGATCCGCAAGTATTGAATTGCGAAAGTGATGTAACTCAAATGAAATACCGAACCTATGGCGGTGCACCCTAGTCCAATGCCGAAAATCTATTCTGACGTTCATTTTAAATATATAATTTTATTTAATTCATTTTTTTTACATCTAAATATGCATATAAAAAAAGAGAAGACGTTGCCTGGTTGAAATAAAGCAAATATTTGGTTTTAAATATGTTTTCTGTGTAAATTGTTTGGTTTTCATTTGGTTACGTGACTTAAAAAGAACTATAGGTCGAAATGCTTTAAACAAAGCTGATTTGTGTGAGTGTTTGAGTGTAAATTTCCAGTATAATTGATTGAGAGTTGTCATTATAAGGGGATAGCTAAAAATCGAAATAAATCAAATCCATTTCGACTGTTTGTTATTATGCCGCATCGAAACATCACTTATATATGAAGCTTTTATTTACCCATTTTTTCCTCGGTCATCGTTTTGAATAAACGAACACACAACGAAAGGATAAAGTAAAGCTACGCATATACCGGGTTATTTGAATGACGTCATTTCGATCTTCGTTTTTGGCTGCTAAATTTCGAATTGATTTAAAAAAAATAAAAGAGTTTAAGCGACAAAAGTGTCAAGTGATTGCATGCCCATATGTGCATGTAAATCGAGCTCATTAATTGGTCTAAAATGTGCAAATATGTCCGACAATATTATCACGGATCGAGAAACGAAAGACAGCGATCGAGCAAACGAGCAATCGAACAATCGTTCGATGTTCGTAGCTCTCCGTCTGTCAATCAGAGATTGCATTCGCTAATTATCCATTAAGAAAATATCATTAAAACTTTCATTTTTTTTATAGAAATGTCTAAGTGAATAAATGGGACTCTGACTTCAAAAACGATTCATATTTTTTGTTTTTTTTTTCAAACGAAAAATTAGTTCTTTCCATGCAAAAACGTATTAAAAACTGGTTTGTATTTTTCGATTTTGCATACAAACCGTTTCTTTTCACTCGAGTTTTATTACTCCGTTGTACAGACTCAATTTATATCTCGTTTTCAAAAAACCAAACGGAATATGAACCATTTTTGAAATCAGAATCTCAAATGGCTTTTTGTTTGTGTCCCTCAAGTATGATTTATTTGGTAAACCTTTTTTTTATTACTTTTTTTTTGTTTGTTCCATTTGCAAAACACGGAAAAGACGACTAATTTCAATGGAAAACATTGAAAAATAGAATACGCATACAAAGTGGATTTAAATGTGAATATTGAGCGCATTCAACTGAATAATATGAAATATTTGACATGTTTTTCTCTTATCTAGAGGAGTCATCCATTCGCGAATTGAACAGAATTCACACAATTCGAATGCACTTCAACTTCAAATTGTTTCGCATATTGCTCAACGTCAAAACAGTGATGGCTAGTGTCATCTCAGTTTTTATTCAACGCGTAGAATGAAATATGTAAATAATTCGAGCATTCGGAATGAAATTCGGCAAAATAACAGCCATTGTCATAAGTGGAGGGTGTGAAATACTCGAATTGAATACAAGATATTTGATGGTCTACAGCTTATCCCCCTCTTCATGCTAAATATTTGCATACGTTGTGAAATAAAGAGTTCGAGTTGTCAAGGTGTAACAACTGTACCATGTCAAATGATTGAATTGCCTCTTTTTGCATACAGTTGCAGCGCATTTTACATTTCAACTTTGACAAAATTATTCCATTATGTATGCTGCAATCACAATAACGATTACGTTTGTTTGCTTGATTGTTTTAATTTTTCAATTTTTAATTCATTATTTTTAATTAGACTTTAATTATTTGTATGTTAATATCCATAGATTGTATAATTATGCCTTTTAAATATTAAATGTTTTAGGTGATAGAGATTTTGTTCGTGTTAATATTTTTTTTTTCTTCGAATGATTTTTTGTTATATTTTTGCCCGCTGATTTTCTTTTTCTCTTTTTGGTGCACAATTTATTTGGTATGGTTGATTTGCCTGTGTTAGCAGCGCGTTCAATGATTTCTTTTTTCTCAAATGCAATGTCATTTTGTGTGTAATTCTTAAGTAGAAGAGTTGTTCGGTGCAATATGAACATTTCCTAACTAGTACAGTTTTGCGTTTGCGGAAAAAGAGTGGCATGAATTCATCCTATAAATCGTAGTATTCCAATGAATAATATCAAGTATTTCACAATTGAAGACAATGCTTTGTAGAAATGAAATTATTCGAATTAAAATCTACAAATTTTTTAAAATATCATGTCTCAAATGAAAGTTAATTGTAATGGTAAAAAAAAATAAACAAGAACAAGTGTCCACTAAAATGCTCAAACAAAATGCTGCTAAAATCAGATTCGAAAATTATTCTTTAAAAACATAGACATCTAGCCATAACACACAATATCATCGATTTTTTTTTAAATATATTTTAGTTTGTTTAAATATGAATATTTATATATACGTATGTGGATGTGTTTGTAAGAGTACAGTTGACCAAGTGGTGAGAAATATTGGCCATGTGAAGAGAAACATATCCAGGGAGCTCGCTCATAAATATAAATATCTGCTTGAATATTTCTATCGGATAGGAGATCTGGACATATCGTGGCCAAATGCCGATGAATTCGAACCGAGAGTGTGTACATTATTTATGTTTTAAATATATTCATAGTTCGCATTGGTCGCATCTTTGCACGCATTGGTTTGTTTTGTGACAAGTTTTCTAGACGAGAATGCACAAAACAGAAAATCTATTCCTCCCAGTTAATCAAAACATATACGCTTATATTTGAATATATTGTAAAAGAAACATGTGAGAAATCGGTTGATTGCTTTCATAAGTTGAAGGTGGATGGCGGATGACAATGAAAATATAGCACATACGGACTACCTACCAATTTTCATATTATTTAATTGTGTCTTTCAATAAGTACTTATATTTTGGAAATCTTTTACCCAACATTACAACACTACCCGTCTCTCTATTTCTCTGCGTGTGTGTGTTTGTGAATAATGAGACTTCGTAATTTCATGTTAGAAGTCTCCTGTTTTTTTTTCTATTCTATTCGCTAGCAAAGGTATGGTTTTTTTTTTCATATGATATTGTTGCCTGTATGTAACTGTTCGTCAAAAGGACGTTGGCGTTTGCAAATAGTACAATGCCGACGCTTTTTCAACGGTGTGTATCTTTCAAATGTGTTATAGTATTTTGTTGGTGGATTAACGTATATTTCATCAGATTTGAATTTAAATGAAACCAAAATTATGCATCAGAAGTAAACAGAAATGTTTTTGATTCGATCATTAAACGCTGCGTTTTTGCAATCATATTGAAGCTGTGTGTCTTGATGAGCTTTTTCTTTTACCTGTGAAGAGAGAGAAGAAAAAAAAAACGAGAAAGAAAGAGTCAAACAAACGTAGAAGATGATTGTTTTGTTCTTGAAAGTTGTGAAATGGTTGTTGATTGATTGAAAGAGACGTTTGCTTTGAGACGAACACTACGAAATTCTACTTCAATCGTAAGCACGTGTTGAAACGATTTCCTGTTCGATGCTTTTTGCTTGAATTGATTTTCGCCGTGTGTAACAAGCGTCAATAGACAGAGAATCATATTGTCCACAAAAAGTGCATTCTGGCAAAGAGATTCTCTGGCGTTTGAATTGTGTAAGTGAGCACACAACATCAAAAAATGGAATGTTCAGTTGCTTCTCGAACAAGACGCACCAACATTTGTTATATGAATACAAAGTTCGAACACTCTATGACAGAGCACATTGTATAGCCTTTGCCGTAAGCCGTACAACATTCATGAAATAAGACTCCAGCGAGTTTCTGTTTTGGTTTCAATGTATAAATATAATAGCATAATTCCTGGCGTGATGTTCGGAGCGTGCATACTAAACTATCACATGCAATTTTTATGTGCTATAAGCATGTTACGTACGATACTTATGGTGCAAGCATTTTCGACAGCTCTTCATCTTGTAAGCATCCCTTCAAAAATTCTTCTTGAGTTAATTGTCCATCGTTGTTTTCATCCATTTTGGCGAATATATTTTTGGCACGCTCTTCCGCCGAGTCAGCCGGTCGGTTTGACGAACACGCGCCCAACATGTCATAAATTGCCTGTAATTCAATAAATAAATGAAATTAGTATTTTAACGAAAAATGAACACTCAACGTTTATATTTTCAGATGGTTGGATGAATGTGCAAGCGATTGCATAGTTTCAACATCAAAATTAATTTGCTATACACAGTTCAAATGTGAATGTTATACGACGGTAAAACAAATATTTCAAATTCATGCTGGCCAACAAAAAAAACCATTTCGTAAAGAAACTTTGCTACCGAGAATTGGTTTGTGTATGTTATGCTTTGCTAGTTGTTGCAACGAAAGCATTTTATTTCGAATGGAATCATAGTAATTCACATTTTATTTCACATGTTGATAGCCCATTTCCATGTTATGACTATGTCAATTCAAAAATGGCTAGCTCACAATGTGTATGGCTGTACAACGAACGATAGCCAATGCAAAGTGAGACTTGTGACCATATAAAAACAACATCGAGTGTATTGAATAGCCTGAATGCATACGGATCCAACAAACAAGTACATATTTAATATCGGACAGATATTTTATTACTTCACATTAAAACATGTGACAACATGTAATGTACGTATATATGTGCTGGGTTAGAGAAAAAATGAATTACACATCACCACCAGCCATCCGACGAAATGAACAATATCATCGCCGTTTTTCCATCATATCGAAAAGATAATCAATTACAAACATAAACAAAATCAGAGATTGCATATTTACTGCTGAGTAGGCCTGAGCTGAGCTGAATTTGCTAACTCAGGCGCCTGAAGCGGTATTTTAGCGTACTTACGGTGCAAAATTGTCGTAGCACGCTGGAATTTACCCAAATATAATTAGAAAAAAAAAAAAAATCAGTGGGATTTTCAGCGTGCCACGACAATTTTGC